GGTTGAGTTTACTGAGTATAACTGCACTTAACCGGAACAGAAAAAACAGTGTAGCCACCAAATCCACATCCTCAAGGTAAGTTGATCCACTTCCTTACAAAAACAAAATGCCGATTCGACTAACCATGCATCCTTAAACCTTAATCCACGTGATTTGGAACTCCAAAACAAATATTAGCAATCAATTAACAATCCCTTGGTACCAAACTAGTTGATGCGGCTCTATGAAACTTGTATATCCACTCCACAATTATTTGGGATCTTATTTTTTAACAATGGTGGTGCCTGGACCAGCTAGCATTCGCCTCGACGACTCCAACGGTACCCACTACCTCCCACCACCACCACAAGTACCGCCATACCCGGAAATCTGCTCATCAAGAATCGGGAAGATGGGAAAAAATCACCTGGCATTTTTAGACTCAGCATAAGTCTGAACCCCGATCTCCCACGACTTTTACCCACTCCATTGACCCCTATATTCAGGATAAGTTCATCTAAATACTCAATAATTTGTCTTGAACTCACTAAATCTAATCCTTCTCCAACCAAGCATTAGCAAAACAAAAACTACCAAGCCTCAATCTTAAACTAGTTGGGTCTAGTATGAATCCTCTATAAACATTCCAATTCCGTTGTGGCCCGTCTCATTCCACAATTCAAGCAATAACAAAGGTAAAACACAGTCAATCTTCATTATAATAAGTTTTAAAAAAATATGAAAATTCAACCATATTAAAATTAGGGTTAATACCGTCTTCTTCTTCGTCTTCATCCTCCTCGTCCCGTTCATCTACTGCGTCTCCATCAACAGGCTCTTCGTCCCTCTCTTCTTCCTCAATTCCAACTTCGTCTGCTCACCAAATTTGATTTTTATCAATAAAATAGCATAAAAAATACATGCATATAATTACTAGTAACATTTTTCAGCTAATATAAGAAACATATTTCTCGAAAAATTTCGAAAAAATAAGTTTAAGAAAAACAACCTTCGTCATCGGAGATCACGTTTTTTCCAGCCATTTTCTCAAAATGCGAAGACGAAACTTAGGACACAATGAAAACCCTAGTATTTCACAAAGTTTGCACACAGAACTATGTGGAAATTGAAACCAAACCCTAGGCTTTTCGCTTCGATTCCTCTCCCTGCTACTCAACAGCAAAAGGTGCTGAAATTATATACAAGATGGACAAATATGTGTATATATGTCGCGTGAGGAGAGTAAGCACTATGGCGGTCCGGGGCACTGACACAGTAGCAAAAGGCAATGCAAAGGGGCAGGCAGGAGCTACGGGACTTGTTTATTTTGATGAGGCGAATTGGCAATGAATTTATAATGCTCTAAATAGTTGATTAAAAATAAAATTTTAGAATATTGATTTGATGAATATTTATATTGAGCACTTTCATAAAAACACTAATTTTACAGCTTGATTGGATGGTTGTTACCAACTGTATCGCATTGTATTGTTATTCCAAAACAAATCAACTGAAATTTTAAAATATTGATTTGATGAATATTTATATTGAGCACTTTCATAAAAGTATTAATTTTACAGCTTGATTGGATGGTTGTTACCAATTGTATCGCATTGTATCGTTATCCCAAAATAATATTTATTTTGATTGTTTATTTAAAATTATTTGTATCGTATTGTTTAATCCATTGTTTCGCAACAACCAAAAACCTCATTTTATGAAACAACCGATTTGATGTAGTGGGATCGTTTCATATTTTCTTTTCCAATTATGCCCTACTTATTACTTCATATTCTATGTTATCACTATTTTTTTATTTTAACTCCAAATCTCCAATATATTGACCTACTTTGTCTTCTTCCATCTTTTCTAGATTTGCTTTTCCCCATTCTTTTTATTCAAGTCTCCGTTCGATTCTTTGTCTCTTTCCATCATTTTAATTTTTTTCTTTTTGTTGCTAATATTATTTAACCTTTTTTTAGGTTTTTGCTCTTGTTTCCAAGCTACGTAATTATTGATAAATTAGTAGAAAGAGGTTTTCTTAAATTATTTTTATGTGCTTGATAAATTTTATTTAAAATATTGGGGTATTTTAGTGAACTTATCAGTAATAGTACATTGTGATATAATCAAATCAAACAACAAAAATATTTTTAACAACAACAAACGATACTATCTATTCAAACGTTGTATCTATAAAACGATACAATACATTATAAAACGATGGGTAACAATGATCCAAACATAGTGTTAATGTTTTAGATTAACACTAGTTTAATAGTAAGCTATAAGGAGTAAAAGACTTTGTAACTAAAAGTGACTTTTTTGTATATATAAAAATTTCAAACTTATTTATCTGGTTTACTTGTGTTTTCCTATTTATAGAAAGTAACTAAAGTTATTTACAAAATATATATAAATCTGGTCAAGGTCTACAATTTATCCACAACTTGATATTTTTTCTACATCCGACATACAAAATGTATATAATTTGTTTATGTCTTCTTCACGTTCAATCTGAAATTCTAACCAAAGTCACCTTGAATCTTTAGCATTTTTTTTTCAAATTTGAGATATAAATTCCAGAGGATATTAACAATCATTTGCAATAGCATTCAATCCAAATAAATAATAATTTCACAAAAATTAATTTTCGAATTCAAAGTTTCGAAAATTTTTAATGTATGTCAATGACTATTAAAGATATGGTGATGACAAACTTCAAATCTTATTGTTTACCCTCAAAATCGGATAACAATTGAATTTGTAACTGGTTTTAAGGATATGTGGATTAAATTGACACAAAGCGATAAATTAAAGATGCAGTTGAACTAAACAATGATAAAGTAAGTCACAACTTGAACAGCTATAGCCTTGGAAAGTCAGCCACACTTGAACTGGATGCAATTCGAGCGATGTCAAGATACAGAAGAACAGTAACTTACAAAAATAATAATATACTGCTTTGGGATGCGTGTTACAATGTGTTTTACATAACCAGATCCCCTTTATATAGTAGTGGAGTCCAACTTTAGGTACAGTTCTATAAGTGGTAAAAACCTCTTGATTCGATGATTTGCCGGTTCCTTATTGATACATGCCGAGATTCACGCCGTAATATCCGACCAGTCACAGATATTCGGCCTCTTGTTATTTCGTCCTTCTATTGATTACGCTGGCAATGTTTCCTCAAGCTCGTTCGGGGTCAGGGTCGATTATGGGATCACGGATTTAATGTTCTCGAGGACAGACATTCTGATCTTGGGTTCTGGCCCGGTGGGACTTGGGGTCAATTTTCAGTCCCTCACGTTTCGATCCCGATCTACCATGTCATAGACAAGCCCCATTTTTACCGTATACAGATAGTCCCCTCGTTTTTCAGAGAGTAGACAACGAGAAACGATATGAGTTTCTTATTCTCACCTCGATACCCCGCGTCAGAAATGACAAAATGAACAAAACGCATCATCAGTCACGTCTTAATGGCATCAAATGCTTGTCAGTCACCGGTCGACTACTCTTAGATGCGAGCCGTCTTTTGAAAACTATAAATACCTCCTTCTTCATTCATTCAAACTTTACATCCACACCTTCTCTACTTTTGTTCCTTAAAAATCTTTACATTTTCTAGCATTTGTATCCTGGTTTCTGGAGATCTTTGTAAGAACTTTCGCTTTTCTTCAATCCAAACCATCAAGTGTATCTCTTTAACTTCCTCTTTTGTCATTTTTTTCCCTCTATTCTAAAAGAAATGGTGAAAACTTCAAAAACAGTCCCCCAAAAAAAACTCCTTCTATATCGCGCCCAACTGCCGAGGAGACTGTTGTACGTACTGCTGTAGAGGAACCAGCAGTTGACCCCCCCTTGAGCACGTTCATACCCGGTGGGTTCTCGGTAATCGTCGATTAAGGTTGAAAAACCTCCCTCTCTACCTGGCCGATATGAGAAGGTCTCGAGATACATGTGCTCAAACACCGAAGAGATCATCCCTGTTGTCAAAAAGGATTGCAACTGGGTTGATAAGCACATGTTGGTTCCCATACCTGGTGAAGATATCACCACCCACGTTGAGGGATACTTAAGTGTTTACACTTATCCCTTTACGCTGGGCCCATTGGATCTGGTTATCATGCACTTTTGTAAAAGATACGAGGTATGTTTCGGTCAAATTCACCCTTCATTCTGGAGGATCGTGATCCTCTTTCGGCTCTTCGTGAGCAAGATCGATGGATGTACATTCATCATCGACCACCTCATGTGCCTATACAGTCCCCGACTCTTTCGATGGGGGACTGATCAAACTTGTGTGCTGGGCTAGTAAAGCCCCATTCTCGAGTATCGATGAAGATCGGGATCGAGGCTGGCTAGGCCGTTTTATCTGAGTGAGGACCTCGGACCTGATCCTAGCTGAGTGCATGTCGTTCCACGAGAAGTGGAACACTAAACGTAAGTAAAATTTCATTTTTCAAAAATTTTATTTTACTCTCCTTTCCTTCTTTTTTATCGGTGCTCAGTGGTGGTGCAGCTGTTCTCGGGTCCCGAATACAGTCCCTCGACTCAAGGAGTGGGTCGAGGGCATCGTGTCATAAAAATCATATTCCGAGCGTGCATGGTGCGAAATCTCGAAGGGCCAATGGGAGGCTCGTTCTTACGGTGATATTCCTTTCTTGAGTGAATAACATTTGGGTTTCTTTTGTATCGGTGAGTTCTTACTCGTTTTGTTTCCCTTTGTAGGTATTTCCAAGGATATCGCAATGAGGCCTCTATCTGGTGATGAGGATTGTCCCGTCGAGTCCCCAGCTTCGATACAAGGTGAGGAGAAGAAGAGAAAAGGGGCTTCGGGTTCTCCGAACTCGGAGAAGAAAAAATCAAGGAGGAGGCTGGTACGCAAATCCAAAGAAAACACTATTTCCCGAGCGCCATCAACGGACTCTCTCCACCGGACAAATCCGAAGAAGAAGAAGAAGAAGCCTCTGAATTGGTGGCCCGCATGCGATCACAGTTCGAGGGACAAAGGGCCTCCGAACTAGTGAGATGCAAAACTAAATTGCCTCAACTCAGGGAGACCGACGAGGAGGCCACAACCAAAGCTTCCGAACCAGAAGAAGGTGAGGCCATTTTGCCTTAAGTGAGGGAGGCCGACAAGGAGGATGTGGTTGGTGCTTCCCGGGTACTAGTCAGTGCCCCGAAGGACGTACTCGGTGTGATAGACCTCTTCAAGTCTCCTTCGTTCACTAAGTCTATGTTCAATGAGGCTCATATGCTGAAAGGACTCCCCAACCAGGGGCCCCAAAGGGAGGCAAACCCCTTTCACAACTTTTTTGATGGCGTAGACTCTACCTCCACGGAGGACGTCACTGGGTTGGGTGATTTACCTGTGCCAAGGAAGAGTCCATCATCGGGAACGAGTGGGCTTTCCTGAAGTTCGAAACTAGTCAACCGGTTTTCAATGCAAATCCTGATCGGAAGCGGTCGATCATCATGTCCATTCCGTAAGATTCCCGAATTCTTTTTGCCCCCTTAAGGGTGGCCAGTTACCTTCGGTGCTTGGTAACCGAGAAATACCAAGCCAAGATGAACGAGGTGGAAGCGCTCTGCCTATTCAATGAAGCTCAACAAATGCTAAATCGGGTAACTTCAGATACTTCTTGATGACTTCTAATTTGTACTTAGATTAATTTATAGACGATCATAACTCTTTTCTTTGTGTTTGTAGGCCTCGATGCTTCATCATAGAGACTTTTCTCCGATATTGAGAAGAGCTAAAGTAGTATCAGGCCGAGATTCGAGGGCTCGAGGCTGTTTTGGCCCTCGTAAAAATCTTTTGATATGTATATAAAGCTTTTTTCCCTCCAACAATTTCTAAGTTTTTTCCTTTGCTTTTTTGCACATATTAAAATGCCTTAGCACGAAATAGTTAGGTTATGTTCGGAGGTTCGAACAAGCCTTGCCTTTAACATTATTTTGTTTAAGGCATCGTGGGGTTTCGGTGTGACCGGAAATTTTTCCCCAACGTACTTATAATTTTTAGATTGTAGTTTGCCGAGAGTAGCCTTTAGGGCCGGTTAAGAAATTTTAAGGCCTTGTTGTTTTTATTATGGGTCTCAGACGTCTCCGAGCCATTTTAGTATGGCCGTAGCCTTTTTAGTTCGGGTGCTGCCCAGTGGGCTTGTCACCCTTAGTTATCCGGACTTGCCTAAGATAACAGTCCCCGAATGGGGATGGCCGTAGCCTTTAAAATTCGGGCGTTGTCTAACAGGTCTTTTGCCCCCGAGCTCCGATAGCCCTGACCATCCCAGTTTATTTTCGGACGGTAGTCCCCGAGTGAG